GAAAAAATAAGACCTGGTTGTGCTACATAACCAGATTGCGGCAATCTAATGGAGGCAGCACCAACTATAGCCACGTCGCAATCACCACATCGAATACTGTTCCATGCTGTTTTTAATGCTGTTAAAGAACTAGAGCAGGCAGAATTAAGAGAAAATGCTGGTCCTTTAAGATTTAGATGGTATGCAATTCTTGTTGCTGCACTTCCAGATAAGGTATTAATGTAATCACTAAATTCTTTTGCAGGATCATTTTCATTATTACATGAAAAATTCTTATATGTACTATTTTCAATTGCAAAAAATACCCCAATTCGTCCTTTTTCATGCTGTGGATTGATTCCTGCTTCATCCAAAGCTTGTACACTTTTTTCTAATAGTAAACGTTGTTGTGGATCCATTGAAACAGCTTCTTGATGACTAATTTTAAAGAATTCAGCATCAAATTTGTCAATATTTGAAAGTATTCCACATTTTGGTACATAATAAGGATCATTACGATTTTTTGTATTCATCTCGTCAAGTTCTTTGTCTGTAAATGTATGAATCCCATGTTGTCCAGTTTTTATCATCTTCCATAATTCATCAACTGAGTCGGCTCCAGGGAAACACCCAACCATGCCTATAATTGCTATTTCACTTGCTGTTATTGCTTGATCATTATTAAGCGCAATTATAGAGTTATCTAAATCTAAAGATTGATCTGTAGGCATCAGAAGATTCGCCATAGTTTTAATTGTTGGATTTTGGAAAAGATCAATAAGGTCAACTGATGAAATTTGCTGTTGAATTTTCTTTTGTAATTGTAATAATAAAAGAGAGTGGCCGCCAAGGTCAAAGAAATTAGTGTTAACATCTGGTTTTTCTTTCAAAGCAAGAACATCCTGCCATAGAACTTGTAGATGCGAAACAAGTAAGACTTTAGAAGTTTTATGTTGAGGTTTTGAGACCTCAGAGACGATAACTTTCTTGAGTAATTCGGGCATATTGCTCTTAACTTTAGCATGATCTGTCTTTCCATTATGTGTGCATGGCAAATTAGCAACTGGAATAATATCCGGAACTTGAAATTTTACCATAGTCTTGTTTAATTTATTTCGAATTGCTTTATGATCTATATCTTCTGGCATAACAAATGCTACTAATGACTCTTTTTCTTCATTAACTTGGACTGATGCATGACAAATCTCTGGACATTTACTCAAAATTATTGCTTCAACTTCAGAGAGCTCGATTCTAAATCCACGAAGCTTCACTTGACGATCAAACCTTCCTAAATAAACAATTTTACCATCTTCTAGAATACATCCTTGATCACCACTACGATATAAGCGTTTTTGTAATTTTGGATGGAATATAAAACGTTCTTTAGTAATATCTTCTCGGTTTAAATATCCTCGTGCCAATCCAGCACCACCAATCAATATTTCTCCTTTATCACTTGATAATTCTTGCGTTATTGGATCACAAATATATACAGAAGTATGATCACGCGGAGTTCCAACTGTAGATCCGAATGTGACAAGACTTTTTTCAGGTATTATATCATAATTTGTTACCATAACACCTACTTCAGTAGGACCATATGTGTTAATAAATTTCTTAAGACGACTCTTCCAAAGGTAAGCTAAATTATTTGGAAGAACTTCTCCAGCAACTTCGAGATATTTAAAAGTTTGACTACACTTATCAGGTGATATGGTAGCCAAGATAGTTGGTACAACTGTCATTGCTTCTACTTCATTACATTTAATGACATCTAATAAGTAATTTCCAACCAATAATTTTGGATTTTTAGCAAAGCAAATAGTTGAACCATTGGTAACTGCCATTGCCCAACCTAATATTGACCCGTCAAATGCCATGGATAGCACTTGTAATACCCTAATTCCTCTATCTTTATATCTAAAATGTTCATATTTAGGGTCCATCAATAAACTTGTAACGCCTTTATGTTCTATTAATACGCCTTTTGGTCTTCCTGTTGATCCTAAAATGATTAAAAATAAAAGTGTTATTTATATAATTCTTTTAAAAGATGAAGTCATAAAAATCAATTTACTTACCCGAAGTGTACATAATATAGCAAAGATTTTCTCCATGGCATACTGATTTGACTATGTCATAGGATTGTTTAATGACATCCATTGTATCACTTTGAATTATTTTACCAGAAAAGTTTTCAATCCAATCATTACATTCCTCATCAGTGATAAAATATAAAACTTTAGAATCTTTGATTATAAAATTCTTTCTTTCCGCTGGATATGTTTTATCAATAGGAACATAAGCACCGCCAGCTTTAAGAATGCCTAATATCCAAGGAATCATATGCATATCTGGATTTAAATGAATCGCAACTAGGGTTTCTACTTTAACCCCAATTTGAAAAAGATATCGAGCAATTTGATTACTTTTCTTATCTAATTGTTCATATGTCATTGATAATCCAAGTTCACCCATGTATAATGCTAGATGATTTGGTAATTTCTTTGCTTGTTGTTGAAAAAGTTCTTGGATTGTTGGAAATGATCGTGGTACTGATAAATCATTTTCGGATTTAGGTATTAATTTGATTGATATTGAATTATCTTGATCGTTTAAAAGTTTTGGAATTTTTAATTCTAAGTCATCATAATTTTTCATTATATTTACAACTTTTAAAAATTGTTCACCCATTAATTTAATATTATGAGTATTAAAAATTGTTGAATTATAATTAATATTAAAGATTATTGTATTATCTGATTGTTCACTAAAATCAAACCAAAGTTCTACATCAGACTTAAAAGTTTTGAATTGAGAATTCATAGGCATTTTTGGTGTTTTTTTTATAATAATTTGTTGAACAAGTTTACGTTTTAATGTTTGTTGTGCATATCTTGCTAGATCAATAAACGGGTACATTTCATTTTGTTTTGCGGTAGATATTAATTTTGCTATTTGTTGAATGGTTGAACGCAAACCAATTGAATTAAATTTATCAATATTTAGATGAACTGGCATATTATTAGCAAAATGACCGACAAGTTGAGATAATGCGTTTTTATCATGATTCACCGGCATAGAACGTGCAGAAAATGGAAGCCAGATATTGGCATTTTTTAAATCGACAAATGATGATAAAGTGATCCACACGGCTGAAAACATTGCCACAAACCAGGTAACTTTGAATTTATGACCTAAGGCGCTCAATTCTTCAACGTTGTTATGAAAAACTTGATGTTGAAGTGTACTTTGTTTATCTTCTAAAGTTTGCTGAACAGATGAAAATTGTATTGGCCATTCAATATTTTTGGTTGAGTTAATTTGATCACGCCAAAATTTCTGTTTGACTTTATAATCATTTGAATAAAGCCATTCCTCATGTTGGATGATAAAATCATCGAATGTAGTCCCATTAAGCATTGGCAAGGATTTACCAGATAACAAATTATGAAAATCAAGCAATAAATTGTAATTGCCTAAACCATCAATAACAATATGATGGCAAATAATATAGATTTTATAATCTGATTTAATTGGATCTACAAAAAGATAAAATCGAATAGGGTATAATTTTTCAAGTTCAAAAGGTTTTTTAACTAAATTATCTCTATCTTCAACGGGAATCATCATCAAATGAACAACATTATTCACGTGATCCACTGGATATTCTTTTCGGTAGCATTTTGTGGGCTTCCCGTCGTCATCCTTATCATGAAATGTACTTCGTAAAAGCGCATGCCTTGAAATCAAATTATTAGCGGCAAAAACGATTTCTTGAATAGATTTAGTTTTGTCCACCTCAGTAATAGAAATTACATTGTAATTATAAGAATTGGGATCACTACAATATTCGAACCATAGGCTTTCTTGGAATTTTGAAATAGAGTGTTTGGTACTGATTTGATTTGGTCGATTCATTTTAAGCTTGATGCTATAAGCGATTCAATAAATTTTATTTTTTAAAAAAAATCGAAACTTGCGTGAATTTTTATTTTTTAAAAAAATTGCGTGCACCTTTCGTTAAAATCATCGATATTTATATTTTAATCGAACTATGAACGAAATATATAGTATACAGTAATTTTTAAAAAAATTTATAGAGGTTATTATTTAACACGTATAACCAGGCATTTAACTTCCAATTTAATATTATTTATCCAAATTTGCTTTTTTGTTTAACTAAAAAGTCAATCGGAATATATTGTTACACTCGAATTCTAGAAATTCGGGACTCCATTAGGAAAATTGCCAATGAAGCCAATGGAACCAATGAAGACAATTGAGTTAATGGGGCTAATAGAGCCAATAGCGTAACGATGATCGTTACCAGTGTTTAAAATTACCTTACACAAGATACACAAGCGAAAGTGGTTTTTTTTTTTGTGCAAGAGACATTCTAAATGTATATGCACAAATGTGAAATTAAATTTAATAAGAAGCTTGCGCAAAAAAATGACGTGCAAGAAATTATAAAATTTTATTGCACAAAAATTTGGCCTAAATATAAAATATAAGATACGTGTCCGAAGTTCCGAAAGGAAATGAATGAGCATAAAATATGAGCAAGGTTGAGCTTAAATTCTGAAGAAATATCTGAAATATTTCGAAAATTAGCCAAAAAATGTAAGATATATTTGTATAGTAATTTTATAGCGTTGGCATAATTCAGAGATAATAAATATGTGCATATAAAAATAAAATTTATATGCGCAAGTGTGCAACTAGTAGTTAGTTTGTGCAATAAAAACCTATGTCCGTGCATGTAGGTAAACACTTTTATACGAAATGAATTTTATAAAAAATCGAATAATAGTGTCCCTAGCGCCTTAATTAATGTTAAAAATGTGCCAGGTAGAGATTAGGCACAGCATATAGTTTAATTTCGGGTTACTCATCCATTTATAAAACCCTTACTCCCGGCTACAGCTATTTTGGGAACCTGATAAAATTTGCCGAATGATTTTTCGGCCGATCCGGTTAAGTTATTGATTTCGGGAATAAAAGATACAACAGCAGATATCGGTTATACGTACCGTAAATGGCCGAATACAAGACCCAAGTTTGTTACATTCATCAATTTTAAAAGCAATTCTTGAATGTGTGCCAGGTTGACTGCGCTTTAATCAGCCCACCAATTAAAATTCTAATAATAACAATGAAATTATAAGCTTTTAATAGAACGAAAACACCATTTTTTAATGTTATTCAATTCAAAAGTATACTTGTATTATTTTAATTTATAATGCCTATAAGTTATAATTTCAAAACTTTTACAGACCAGAATGATATAACTTGTCAAAGTTCTAATAATACGCTAAAAAAATATTGACCTTAAAAGTATGATAATTAATCACAAATGTTAGCTAATAAAATATAATTTATTAAATGAAAAAAAAACTTTTCTTATATCTACGCTGAAACATATCTTTAAAAAAGAATAATAGCATTGTTCTTATTCTTAAATTTTATAAGCTTTGTTATTAATCTTACGTACTTCTGAAATTACTGTAATGCAATGTACTCTTACATATTTTAAGTACGGTCAACTATCCTTATAATGAGCATTTTCATAATGAACGAACTAAAATTTTAAAAACTATAATAGTTCTGTATAGAGAGAATCGACTGTATTCATGTTCCTTTTATATATATTTAATTCACATAAGAAAAAAAATAGAAAACATTCAAAGTACAGGACGGTTAAAGAAGCACATGGCGAAAGTTTTCAATCAAAAATAAAATTTACGAACGTACTGAAATAAGATCATTGTGGCTAATTAATGCGCCACCAACCTGGCACACATTCACTAGCCCTAACTACCGTAAAGTGCCATACCGAAGACCCGGCGTGACAAATATGGTGGAATAATTTTTAAAATATTATTTATACATCATGTGATACATAACATATGTGATTTAAAAATTTTTCTATTGTAAAAAATTGCATCACACCGGGTCTTCGGTATGGAACTTTACGGTAAACTATTCTATCACCTAACCTAACACTTAGGCCGAATTTTCAATCATGCGATGTGATGATCAAGAAGATATCACTGGGTTCACTGTTCTTGAAACTACCTGATCAAATTACCTTTTATCACATTTAAAATAAGCATATTATTTTTTTTTCTTAATTTAATTCAACGATCTTTTTGAGATCATGGAAACTTGAAGTTGCGCAATCGAAGCTTTATGAAAGCCAAACATAATTCACAAGGAAAGATACGGATCATAAAAACTTCAACTACCATTTAAATAGGGTATTAAGTCGTTTTTAAATTGTAATCAGAATTGAAGTTTAATTAAAAAGCAAAATAAATGAGACACGATAAATATTTATAAAAAATGACAAATAATACTGATTTAGAGTAAATAATTAACGTTATTTATTCTAAAAAAAAGTTAACGTTAATTCTAAATTTACAATTAGAAATTCATTCTACTATACATAATTTCAATATAATTAAAGACTTACATGACCATCCGAAACATGTCGAATATTCTGTTAATTTCTTAAACATTAAGTTACATCCAAAATAAATTACAAAAACCAATTGATTCACATAATTTAATTAAATTATTATTGAATTTTGTCAATTAATTTCTACTATTGTCATCTTCAGAAGAGTGAACACGATAAATTTCAGTAAATGGAAATAATGCGAACTCGGAGAATATTAGTATTTATGGTCAAGGTCTAGAGACAAAGCATTTAATTTCGTGTAACTAGTGCTAACGAAAGCATAATGCAAAACGAAGTTCAATTATTTATGGAGAATATAAAATCATATGAAAGCACAAAACGCGAAATGAGAATATTCTTTATTAATATTTAAGGTGTTGAGAACTTAAATGAGAATATGAAAAATCATTGCAAAAACTATTTCTTTATCAAAAAAACCCAACCAACCAGATAAATCAATATTGTATAACCTATCTTAAATTGATATATCAATATGAGAAGGCAAACCATATGGAGAAAAACGAACCGATGCTAGTGTATTATTTGTACGAAGAATGCTTTTTAATAGTTTTTGATTGTGGCAATTAATTTTATTACCACAAAGGTCTAAAGAGGTTAAAGTAATGTTTTTGAAAAGTGCATCTATTAACTCTTTTGCTCCTTCAAAACGAATTGAATTATTAGAAAGGTTTAAAGACGTTAGAGCATTGTTGATATAAAGAACTTTCACTAATGCTTTTGCCCCTTCACAGCCAATCTGATTACTACTAAGATCTAAATTAGTTAAAACCTTGTTGTTACAAAGTGCCTCTGCCAATATTTCCGTACCTTCAGAACAAAATATATTATATTCGAGCTCTAAATCAGTCAGTGTAGTATTTATACAAAGAGACTCCGCTAATGCTTTTACTCCTTCAAAATCAATTAGATTATTGGAGAGATCTAAGGAAGTCAGAGTTGTGTTTTTGCAGAGAGCCTTCGCTATCGCCTTTACTCCTCTAGAACGAATGCTATTTGTGCACAGATTTAAAGTAGTCAAAGTAGTGTTTTTACAAAGTGCTTCTGCCAATGCTTCAGCACTTTCAGGACCAATTCGATTATCGTAAATATCTAAAAAAGTTAGAGTAGTGTTCTTATAAAGAGCTTCTGCTAATGTCTTTCCTCCTTCGGAACGGAATTCGTTAGTAGAAAGATTCAAAGAAGTCAAAGTTGAGTTCATACAAAGAGCATTTGCTAATGTCTTTGCACCTTCATAGCCGATATCATTATTTCCAAGATTTAAAGTAGTTAAACCGGTGTTTTTACAAAGTGCCTCTGCTATTACTTCCGCACTTTCAGAACCAAGCCTATTACTGGAAATATCCAAATAGGTCAAAGTATTATTTATACGTAGAGCTTCGGCTAGCGCTTTTACTCCTTCTAGATCAAGTAGAGTCAGAGGAATACTTAAAGAAGTAAGAGTAGTATTCATATGAAGAGCATTTGCTAATACTCTTATTCCCTCAGAATGAAATGCATTATTACCAAGATGTAAAGCAGTTAAAGTGGAGTTTTTACGAAGGACCTCTGCTAATACTTCGGCATCTTCAGTAGTACTAAGTAAATTATGATAAAGATTTAAAGAAGTCAAGGTAGTGTTTATACAAAGAGCTTTTGCTAATGCTTTCCCTTTCTCAGAATTTAGTCGATTAAAAGAAAGATCCAAATAAGTTAGATTAGCGTTCTTGCACAGAGCTCTTGCTATTGCTTTCCATCTCTTAGTACTAAGTTCGTTATAAGAAAGATTTAAAGAAATAAGAGTGGTATTTTTACGAAGAACCTCTAATAATATTTCTAATGCTCTAGAATCAAAATTATCGGTATAAAAGTCCAAATAGGTAATTGTGGTATTTTTATAAAGATAATGAAATAGCTTTTTGTCGTATATAATTCCTTCAAATCTTAAAATTTTAAGTTTCTTACTTGTTCGTAAAAATAATGAAAGCAAAGAAAACTTAACAGTATTTACAGTCCAATGATCATCGTAATCATCATAATCATCATCACTAAAAATTAAATAACGCCTTTCTTCACCATAACCTTCTTCTTTAAGCCAATTTTTGACACCATCGTGCAAACAAATTCCAATAGATGTAGCATAGCTTGTATATTCAAATAAAGATTTTGAATAATTTGGAAGATTAATTTCATAGGGTATTAATAAAGCTTGTTCTTCATCGTTTAACGATAAAAGATATGTTCTTATAATTCTTTTATCATCGAAATATTCGGTTGGTTCTCTCCATAATATTGGTACAATAATTCTGCACCAGTGACGGTTTACAAGAAGGCACGAAAATAAACACCTATAGTTGTTTTTAAAATTACTTAATATTTTAATGAGGCATTCATTTGGTAACGGTATCATTTTTTTTTCGAAAGGATAAGGATAATCAGCGTTAACTGGATTTTCTTC